AGACAAAACCAAGTCCATGATTCTGCCTAACATAATACAACTATCCTGCATACAAACAGCAACACAATAATCCCTTCCCCAAAGACTCAACAGTTTCAGCATTTTTTAAAAAATCCAAGAACCAAAGTCTCTTATGAGACTCAAGGCAAGCTCTTAGCTGTGAATCTCTGTAAAAATAAAAGACATGTTACACAATCCCAAGGTACAGTAGCACAGGGTAAACACTCCCAATCCAACAGGGAAGAATAGAGGGAGAGAAAAAAGTTAGACCCAAGCAGGACCAAAATCCAGTAGGGAAAACATTTTACCCTATAGATATAGCCTATAGCTCTATATCCAGTATCCAGTTCACACAGTGGTAAAACATGAGTTCCAATGGTCTTAGGTAGCTCCACCTTTATGACCTTGCTGGTTGCAGCCTAAGGGCCTCTCTCGAGACAGCTCCATTTATATCCTATAGCTTTCCTCAGCAGACATTCCATGTTCCTTGGCATTTCCAATGTGATAGGTGAATGACTATGTCAACTTGAGAGGTCTGGTTAAGAGAAGCTTAGCTAAATGAGCTCAGCAATTCCACACCCTGGAGCATGGGAGATCCACCCTAGGGCAGCTCATTGCTTGGATGTTATCAAGAGGAAATGAGGAAGGTCATGGCTATTTCTGTTCCTTTGGAGGAGCTCCCATTTTTGCCTGCCTTAGATGTCATCTCCTGCCTTAGAGCACAAACTCTTTGGCTTCCAGTGAGCCTTTCAGTACAGACCCATCAGCTTCCTGATATGGACTCACAGGGGACACTGCAGTGAGCTCGACTTTCAACTAAATCCTTCAGTCTCCAGTGTGAAGACAGACCCTCTGGATTCATTCTTATCTGACCCTGTTGGGTGGCCATTGTAAGCCAATCTTGTAAATTCTTATATATATTTATATACTTGTGTTATATCTGTTTCTCTAGTAAATACTGACTGATATACCCAACTTGCTGAGGTCTCCATTGCACTTTCAACTTCACTCTTACAGTTTCATGCACTGCCCTCTTGGGCTCCTTGCCTGGTCTTCTAGGCCTTCCTTTGAAATCTAGGTGGAAGCCTTCCTGACCCCATAACTCCTGAATTGTGCATGTCAGTAAGACCAGCATCACATGGACAATGCTAAGGTCTGCTGTCAGTAAAAGCAGTAGCCAGGCCCCCTTAGATCATGGCTATATTGGACTCTGAATGTCTGGACAGCTGAGCATGGTAAAATGAATCCTAGGAGACCCTTCTCAAACAGAGCTCACACACACTCTTCTCAACAAAACAGTTAAAACTTTTGCACCCTTGAATCTGTAATAGGTGAGGACTTTCTGACTTCTGACATGCTTTCAAGGCATCCTTCTTCTTGTTTCTGTACAAAGTATTTTTCTTTTTTGTTTTTGTTTTTGGGGGTTTTCGATTTTTTGAGACAGGATCTTGCTATGTAGTTTATACTTCAGGTTGGCCTTGAACTGACTATGTAGCCCAGGCTGGCTTCAAACTCAGTCAGCCTTGAACTTGTGGTGATCCTCTTGCCTCAGCCACTGGAGTACTGGGATTACAGGTATGTGCCACCACAACCAGCAGTGCTTGGTTTCTTTTTAATGGTGCTAATCTTTTTAGCAGCCATAACTTCTTTGGCTCCAATTTTATACATGGTTCCTTCTGGGCCAAAATTTAAGTTATTCAGTTTAAGTTTTTCTGCCCTGCCTTTTCCTCTCAATTCTCACTATAAATCTGACTAAAAGCAGCCTGCAGTAAACATCCCACAGCCTGAATTTTAGGCTAATTTGAATTTCCTCCACCATATTAATTAGTCCATTATCCTTAATCTCAGTCTTTCACCAAGTATCAGAACAGAGGCAAAGTGTAAAAAATTTTTAAGCTAGAGTGTAACATACATGGCTGCCAGTCCAACTATCAAGGGAGTTCTCATTCCCAATGGAAACCTCCTAGGCCTGGACTTTACTGTCCGCATTCCTATCAGCATTCTGATCTTCTGAATTCTGATCAGGATTATTTGTCAGACTCTGCTTACTGTATTCTAAGGCTTCTCTAGCCCACTTCTCCAAATCTTTCCCAACTCCTCCCACAGATCAGTTCCAAAGGTTTCTGTCTTAGTTAATTTCTTATCGCTGGGATGCAGTACTTGGAACCTATAAATTAAAGAAGTTCAGATTTATTACGGTTTACTTTGGCCATACTGTAGTCCATAGTCGGCCGGCTCCAAGGCTGAAATAGCATGGTAGGAGGGCCTAGAACACGGGAAAGCTATTCATTTCATGGCAGCCAGGAAAAAGAGAGGGAAGGGAAAAATAGAGAGGGAGATATCCCTTTCCAGTTTATGCCCACAGCGAACTGAGTCTTCCCACCAAGCCTCACCTCCTAACAGCACATTTAGATTTGGATTCATCAATGGATTAATCCACCAATAAGTATAGCACTCCCGTGATCCAATCACCTGCCAAATATCCAACCTCTGAACACATGAGGCTTTGAGGAAACATTCAGATCTAAGCCATAACAGCTTCTAACTATATGATCAGGTAAAGTCACAGCAACAACCCCACTTCTCTAGTAATAATATTTTGTATTAGTCAGCTTTCTTGTCACTGAGACACAATATCTAACAGCCATAACTTAAAGAAGAAGAGGTTTAATTTGCTCACAGTTTCAGTCCATGGTCAGGGGTCTCCAAGGTAGAGACATCACGGTAGAAGGTATGTGGAGAAAAATTGCTTAGTTTGTGAAGGCCTGGAAGCGGGGAATGGAAAGAGTACCAGAGTAGAAGGGGCAAGGGACCAGACACAGACCCCAAGGCCACACCTCCATGACCACCTAGAATTGTGCTCTACCAATCTCTGTGGATGCCAAAACCAATCAAGTTGAAACTCTGCCTTATACAACCAGCCACAACCGCCACAACCAGCAAGCAACATGTCCCCTTTTAAACTACTTACAATGTGTTTTAGTTACTATGACTGGATAACAAATCACCCCAACACATATCCCAATGCATGAAACGTTCATTTATTCCACTCACGGATTTGTGATTTGCAATTTCAGAGAGATTCCAGAGGGGATGGCTTGTCTCTCTTCCATGATGTCTGAGGCCTCTGCTGGGGAACTTAAGACAGGGGACTCTGCAGACTCCTTCACTCCTATGTCTAATGAGATATGCTAAAGTAATTGCTGGCTGAGATCTAAGCTGGGGCTATCACCTGGAACCTGTCATAGCAGTTACAGAGTTCCACCCAGGGTGAAGGAAAAAGGACAGAAATATCCCTCTTGATGGAAGAATGTGGATGTCACATTGTAAAAATAATATATGAGATTCGATATACATTGGTGTCACCATATTTGGAAAGTACAATCTCTACACTACATGGATAGTGTGGGTAGTTTAGATGGGTAGTTGTGTAGCTTTGATGGTCTCTCATTCCTCAAAAAACACAGAAGGTAGTGGTTCACATAGGTGCAGCAGAAGAGCTGGCAGGTGCCAGCTTCTCTCTCTCTTTTTTTTGTTTTTTTGGTACAGGAGATCAAACTCTGGTCCTCGCACTTGCAAGGCAAGTGGCGGAACCACTGAGCTAAATCCTGGCCCCAGCTTCTCTTCTTCTAAGAGAAGACCATTGGGAAATATGCTAGTATTTGTTTATAAATCCCAAATGTGTTACCTTCTCTAAACCCTTTAGTGAATTTTAAGTAAGTAGCCCTTTAGTCATACTTAAAAATGGCACTATGTATCTCTCCCCCAGGGGAGCAGGAGTGACATTTCTGCATTTGTTCATGGTCCCAGAAGGACTGTTCTGGCCCCTGAATAGACCAAGAACCATTCTGACAATCACTGTCGTGGGGATTAATTCCAGATCCCATGTCCCTCACTGTCAGTCTTCCTGTAAGGTCTAAGGTTAGACTACAATATTCCCCTTTGCTGATGCTCATTAGATAGAAAACTGACTCTCCTGTTAGAGTGATTCAATTAGGAAGAGGTCAGGCAGCAGGCACTAAGTGCATGAGAGTGTCAGGGAGGCCTGAATGTCAGCTCTTCCTCCCTGGTCCTCTTGTTGCTTCACAGCAGCTACAGGATGCAGCCCATTTGGCAGGAATGGCTGGGCTGCAGCCACCAGCTGGTGACTGGGCACCTGGAGTGACTTCCAGAACTTCAGGTGGCCAGGGACTATACTATGTAGGTAAAGATGTAAGGTCTTGGAACAGCCCTGGGTCAGGAGAGAGCCCTACTGGGTCAGTAACATTGCCACCTAGAAGGGCCAGCTTTAGCTCTGCCTCCTGCCCAATTACCTAAAGCCTGCAAGCCTCTGTTTCAGCTTCTTCCTCCGATCACCTGGGAAAGTGAAAGATAGACAGCTAACCTCCAGCACCATGCCTGATGCTCAGGGGGGCCTCAAGGATGAGTTTGTTTCTATTGCTGATTTTTAGTTCTAGCAACATCCACTTCACAGATGAGGAAATAGAGGGATGTCTAGAAGCATGTTTTTGCCTACAGACGCTGCTTTTCTCTTGCTGACTGATAGGAACAAATCTGCCTATGCGCCCAAATCGTATTTTAATAGCCTGTGAGAGGTCCCTGGACAAGCCAGCTGTCCTTGGACCTGGCTGGCCAGAAGCAGCAGTGGGGCATTCCATACTCTTAGCTCCAGCTTGGCTGATCCTTAAAAGGTGGGTTCCTTTCCCTTTCCTTAAATTGCTACCATTTCTATTCTGAACATTTTTTTAAAAAAAAACACCAATAACACATGTGAGAAACAGGTCCACAAAGGTGCCATGACTTTCCCAGGGTCACACAGCTTAAAAGTACAAAAGCCAGGAGGGTTTAGCTGCTCCACTGTGGATATACCAGAGTTGAGGAGAAGCCCAGCCCCTCAGGGCTTCATCTCCTCCTCCCTCTCCTAAGACACAAAAGGAAAATCATTTCCTATTCCTGGCTCCTCTGCCTGCCCTGAGAGACCAAGTAAAGAAGAAAAGTTTCTAAATACACCCGGATGGTCTTTTCTGGGTTCTCAACTTGCTTGTATTGTTTGACATTGGTTTTCCCCTGTGACTCTGGGAAATGTGGGTGTGGGGCCTGAACAGTGGCTGCGGTTTATAGGCTGGATACCTGCTCTGCGGAGTTTGTGTTTGTGTCCCGATCCTGTGTGCTCAGACTTGACCATGTTTGGGCATGGAGGCTCAAGCCACAAGAGACCAAAAGCTGCTTCCCTGGAGATGGCTGAGAGGCCAAACTTTCTGCTGCAGCTCTGAAGCCTCTTTTAGGGTGGGGGTAGGAGGCTGGGAAGAAAGAAATCATCCACTTGCTGAAGACCTCCAGGGCAGCAGGCAACTGTAAGTATTGGATCTGTGAGTGCTGGGAAGTAGTTTTCCAAGACTGGGGATTGCAGGGGAGATGGATGGAAAAAGTGGCCTGAGACTAGGTGTGGAAAGGGCAGTGGGAACTCCCTTCTCTTGGGCTGCCAATCGTCTGATTCTGAGCTCCAGAGGGGCCGGTGTCTGGGAACTATGGACTGTCGTTAGTTGAGGGTGGCAAATTGGCCAGGTCACACTGGGAGCTCAGTCCCAGGCCCTCTAGTCCCAGCCTCTAGAATGGCCAAAAGGTAACAGCCTGGAGATAAGGTCCAGTCCTGCCACAGTCAGCCATGCAAGGATGAGGCAATCAATAGGCTTGGCAAGAGTGCTTCACGCTTCTGCTCCCAACTGCCATGGTTTCCTTTGTTAATAATAATAGCTGATACTTATCAAGGGCTTCTTCAGTGATAAATGAGTGATATTCAATACATCACATGGTCTTTATCACAACTCTCTGAGGCAGGTACTCGCATTCCTGTTTACAGTCACATGGTTGCTAAACAGCAAAGCCAGCATTTGATCTCATGTCAGATGATCTCAGACCTCCCCGTTCCCTACACGCCAGCCAACTCTCAGTGTACTCTGTTCCCCATCCATCTAAGGAAGAGGACATCAACCCAACTATCAGATCACTCAGGACTTTTCCTTTGCCTTTTTCCATCTTTCCTAAATCCAGCCCAGACCCAGAGTGACCTTTCTAAATAGGACAACCCACCCTAAAATTACAGAAATATTAGCACCTTTCAAAACTGGGATGTTCTTGGAACTCAACTGAAATCTCCTTCTGTTACTGATGAGACCTATTTCCTCCTGTCTGGGCCTCAGGGATAATAGTGTTTCTCAGGGTTCCTCCTGCCAGAAGGCTTTCGCTGTGGATGTTGAATCCCAACTTCCCATGTAAGTCTTATTTCTCAACAGAATTCCACACATGGGAATGGGTTTAAGAGGATTTATCATGAGCCTACAAACTTATACCCCCAGCACAGGCAACAGATCCAACACGGCATTACAGACTGGTGGGACCTGTACAAGCTGCAGGTGCCAGACCTCTCTATGACCCAGGGGCCTCCTGTTTCCTTCCCTCCAGAGCCCCTGGTACTGGTAAAAGCAGGGCTCCTGCCTTCACCAGCCTTAGGAGTGCCCAGGAGTTTGGCAGGATGCAGGAAGCCATCGGTAGAGCAGGCACCCCCTAGGAAGAGGCTGATTAGCTGGAAGGTGCCCTCCCACAAGGTACCCCAGCAAGTGTGCACCAGCCTTCCCAGGGAGAAGAGTTTTGCTAAGGGCACTATGCCTAGATTCCCAAGAGGTGATTTCCCACTGGGCCCAAATCTATGCCCCGTTGTTCCTGGACCAGATGACAGTGACACTTGGAAGTCCCCAGAAAGGAAGTCACACACATCCAGGTGATCATACTGCTTTACCCATGAATATCTGGATGGGCACCAGATAAAAAATGGGCACCAGATAGAAAATGGTGTGGGTTTCCCATTTCACAAGGAAGAAAACAAAAGGAAAAAGAACAGACCATCTGTCTTCGGCAGGGGAAACGTTTGCCCACCGTGACTCTGTAATGTCTCTATTAGGGAAGATATATCATTATCATTGGGTTCCATCTCTGTCAATCAAAAGGGAGATGGACCAGCCCACCGGAGGTTGTGACAGGGTTCCTGTGGTGTCTGAGCTGGACTGTCCTGGTGGAAGGGAAGAACTGGCTGGGCTGGGGAGGGTGTCAAGGACCTTGGAATGGACATTTGAAACAGTCCAACAGTTAGAAGAGAAAAGAAAAGAAAATAAGGCACTCTGCTAAATATCTCTTTAGGCTAATGCTTGTCTCCCGGACACGCTCTAATTTATAAAGATAATGTGTGTGTTACTTTGGGGACCTGGCAAGGAAAATAAAGTCCTCCCTGATAACTAGCTAAAATCTCTCCTAAAATGGAGGATCAGAGAGAACAAATCCCACAGCCCTGGTATTTTGGGTAGAAATATATTATAGTTACCTTAGATAAACAAAAAATAACCACAAAAATGTTTATAGAGAGGGCCTGGTCAGCTTGCAGAATGCATGGGAAATCTACACTAGGACCTCAGCAGGGCAGCTTTGTGGCCTTGGGTAGCATGGATTGGGGGCTCTTTCTTGAAAAGGTTTGTCCAGATTCATGCTCCTGGGAGTGTTCAGTGGACCTAGTGGGGAAGGATGGGAACCTTTGCTTGCATTGGGTGGGATAAGCCAGGAGGAAAACGAAGGGCTGTAGCCACAAGAAGGGGGCGGGGGGGGGCAGGCAAGCAACTTCCTTCCACTCCACTTCTGCCCATGGTGGCTTCATCCCTGAAATAAGGAAAAGATTTCTGAGGCATGAAGGGGGCAATCTCTCTTACAGGGATCCTGCCTATAGAGAACCTCCTGGCTCCTCTGGTAATTTCCCTTCCGGGCCCTCTTCCCCTTCTCTGTATGCTGCCCCTAGTCCAACCAGCCTGGAACTGGGACTCTTTCTCTGTAGAACTGTGAAATGATCTAAGTTTCTCTAGGAGATGAGTGACCCAGGAGAAAGTGCACAGCTTGCTCATGTTAATTTCCTGTGGTCGCTGTAACAAATGACCATAGACCTGATGGCCTGAAATAACAGAAATCTACCACCTCACAGTTCTGGAAGCCAAAAGTCCAAAATCACCAAGGGTCCGGGGCTGCACTTCCTCCAGAGGCCCATGGTTCCTTGCTCCTCCAGCTTCTGGTGGCTTTCAACACTCCCTCACTTTTGGCCACATCACTCCAATCTCTCTCCCTGGTTGCATCACCTTCTCTTCGTCTGTTTCTAATCTCTCTTTGCCTCCCTCTTGTAAGGACCTTTGTGACTACATTTATGGTGTACATGCATAATCCAAGATAATCTCCACATCTCAAGATCCTTAATTTAATCATTTCTGCAAAGTTTTGCCATATCTAATAGCATTTACAGTTTCCAGGGATTAGAACATGTATGTTCTTGGGGGACATTCTTGTGCCCATCCTATGCAGTGAGATCTTGGCGTGGCACTTTTTCTCTCTGAGCCACAGGTTTATCGTCTGCAGAACACAGATGGTGACACTTGTCAAAGCTGGTGGGAGGCTTTGGGGGAGGGATGTCATAAAAGCCCTCTGAAAGTTGCAAAGCTCCATGTATAAACAGGAACAGCACTGGCACTGGAGTACGCTCCCCTTTCACCTGTTCTCCCTCTTATGGTTTACCTGCCACTTGGGCTCATCTCACTTCTGTTGCCTCTGTGGCCCTAGAAATGACTGCTACCCTCAGTGGACATGGGGAAGAAGCTGGTGATGGCCCAGAAGCGGGGAGAGACTCGAGCCCTTTGTCTGGGAATGGCCATGGTGGTGTGTGCTGTCATCACCTACTATATCCTGGGCACAACTGTACTGCCTCTCTACCAGAAAAGGTACTGCACTCCCCTGCCCTGCCCCTGGCTCTCCCTTAAGGCTCTGAGACCCTCAAGGAACTCCAGCCTTCTTCCTACCCCTCTCCTCAACCCTCACCCCAGGCAGGAGGGTAAAAATAATCCTCATTCTGAGGGGCAAGCATTCAAGAGCTGGGAGGGACCTGAGCCCTGGAGTTTGGGAACTGGTGGTAATGGAAGAAGGATCCAGGCAAAGCCCTCAGTGCATGTTTGATCTCAGGAGGAATCGGGGAATCAGAGACTTTGGCAGCTCATCTACATAGTTTTCTCCCTTCTGAAACATCCTGGTTAGGTGTGCATTCATCCTCCTGATGAATATCTCAAGGATGGGGAACTCACTCCCTCCTTGAATACACCATATCATGTTTGGAAGTATCTGCATTGAGCCAATATCTGCTCCTCTGCAATTTTATTCAGGCATCTGGGAGAATGTTCTATGCCCTTGCTCCCTGACATGTCAACCCCTCTGGCTTTTAAAGAAGAGCTACAAAATTCCTGATTCATGTCCTGTTTGGAACACATGTTGAGACTCAACCTGTCCTTAGGAGGGTCTCAGACCCTTCCTCTGGGTGGGGTATCCCAGGGGGAAAGTAAAGGGCTGCAGCCATGTTCCTCTGGTCACATTCTAGCTGACCCTATGATTCCTCCCTGTGCCCTGTCCTGTCTGGCAATCGGTCTTTTGTACAATAAATGTGGAATGAGTCACAATTGTCTTGATCATGTGTTGATGAGCCTGTCAGCTTCTCCTGGCTGCACTGCCCTCACTTTTTACAACCCTGGAGTGATGCCATGCTGGAATCTTGCCCATGTGAGGCACTGCTCAGAGCTGCTGTGAGCCTCCCACATTATCTCCACATTAAACTGCATCCCTCCGGCCTCCCCACCTCCACACAAAACAAGCCCCTCCTGAAACTGCTCTTTTCTGGAGAAACAGCACAGACTGTGGAGCCACTCAGACCAACCCTTAAGTCCTGAGGGGCTCCAGAAAAGTTGTTTGGCCTAGCTGATATTCTATCCACCTCTGCAAGATGAAGATGTGAATGAGTCTTGGGCCTGGCTGCATATCAGAACCACGTTGGGGAGCTTTAAAAAAGAAAACATCCAAAACTACATGAGAAATTCATTGTGGCTTGGACAAGAGAATCTTTTTAAAAGTTGAGTTTTTGAGTGAGTAGTCAAGGTCAAGAACCACTTATGTAGATGACGTTCAAGATCCTGACCAACTCTGATACTCTGATCCCAAACTTCCTCCCTGTGGCCGAGGACTCTGAAGTCCTGAATCTTTAGGGCTGCATGCTTATGGCAAGATGAGGATCCTAGCCCTGGGTCTCTCTAAAGACTTCTCAGGGATCTGAGACTTAGACTGAGTGCTCTTTGTGTGTCAATGTAGTTCTAAAATGTCTCTCTACATGTACACGTGTGTGTGTGTTTTCTCTAGTGTGTGGACCCAGGAATCCACCTGCCACCTGATTGAGACCAACATCAGGGACCAGGAGGAGCTGGAGGGCAAGAAGGTGCCCCAGTATCCATGCCTGTGGGTCAACGTATCAGCTGTGGGCAGGTGGGCTGTACTGTACCACACTGAGGACACTCGGGACCAGAACCAGCAGGTACGGAACTGGAAGAAGGGTATGTGAGCCTGGCCCTATGTATGTCTCCAAGGCTGAGAAAGATTAACAAACTTGAGCAAGGTATTGCTGCTGGCATGAGATCAAGCCAGAGACCTGGGTTTGAATTTGCCACTAGGACAGGCCACTTGGTTCCTGGGAGCCTCATGTTCCATCTTTGTCAAATGGACATGAATGCTGCATCAGAAAGTGCTGTGATGAAGTGAGGGACACTGAGTAATGTGTCAGCTTGGTGTCAGGTGGGTAGTGGGAGCTCAGAGCAGAAGCAGTGGTTATAGTGTAGTGTCGTTATGTCTGTTCCATCCATGGAGTCAAACCAGAGGCCAGGCCCAGAGCCAGCCCCACAGATGGGACCCCAGGAGTCCCCAGGGAGCCAGGGACCTCGACTGCAGCAACCTCTACAGACAAATGTTTAAGAGGTTTTCCCACGCTATCTCTCAGCATCCCACCCTCCCTATCCAGAAAAAAAAAAAATCATCACAGCCCTCCTAAAGGAAAGACAAAGTGCCTCAGTTTTCTTCCTTCCCTCCTTTCTTCCTTCTTCCCTCCCTCCCTACCTCCAACCTCTGTTCTCTTTTCTTCTCCTCCTTCTTCCCCCTTCCTCCTCCTCCCACCTATTCCTCCTTTTCCTTCCTTTCTTCTCTTCCAGTCCTCCTTGTCTCTTGACTAGCCTACCCTTGCTTCCTTCCTTCCTTTTTTCCCTCTTTATCTCTTTCCTTCCTCCCTTCTTCCTTCCTTTCTTTCTTCCCTTCTTTTCCACTGCCACCTCTCCTCCCCTCCTTTGCCTTCTTTTTCCTTCCTTCCTTCCTTCCTTCCTTCCATTCATTTGTTCAACAGCACATCCCACATCAGGGCTGTGGGATTCAGGAGAAAAGCATTCATAGCTGGACAATACCTAGTGGGAAAGGACAGGCGACACAGAGAGTTAGTTACTGGGGTTAAGTGAGAAGCCATGTTCTCCAGATAGTGAGGCAAGTTCTCAGAAAGGCGTTGGGTTATGCTTTTTAAGTCAGGCAGGCCCTAGATGCACAGGGTCTGGGAGGAGGAACCCTCACAGGTGGGCCCTGGAACAGGTGTGGTGGAGAGAAGGGCTGAGGAGAGGCAGGATTGGAAGGCTGATTACAGAAAACAACAGCTGGTGGGGTTCATGTAGCTGGAACAGGCATCAAGGGTAGTCTGAGGGCTATCTGCAAAGTACTTCAGCTATTCAACTGCAGAATTAAATGTCAGGTTGTGAGCCCTGGCTGTCTTAGCTCTGGCTGTGCATGAGACCCCCCCAGGAACCCCCAGGGGTTGGTGCTTAACAAAAGCAGACTCCTGCACAAGACCAACTGAAGTAGAACATCAGGGCATGGATCAGTTTATAGAGGTCCCCCAGTGATTCTAAGGTTGGACATTACTGCTGTGAGCAACCAAAGCACTGAGGTATGATCAGAGGGTGCCGGGAGACTGAGCCAGCAGCCTATGGGTTCACTTACTGGACAGACACAGACTTGCACCATGGATGAATGAAAACAGAATTGTGTGATGGGATGGGAAAGGCTAGGGCGCATGGGGTGGGGGTAGAGGTTGCAGGATCTCAACAGGATAGAGCAGTCAGGGAGAAGCAGGTCTGGGCAGTGCACAGGGATCAGACATGCTCTGTCACCACTGCAAGCTGCAGCCTGACCCCAGGAAGGCAGCCTCAGAACCCACCTACAAGAATTAGCTCCTATGGCTGGACCCTGCCTCCTTTCTGGCAGTCAGTGTCCCAGGAACAAGGAACACATTTTCAGGGTAAGCAGATGGGACGCTCACTGGTGCCCTTCTTGAGTGTGAGGGGGCTGGGGGGCAGGCTGGCTTGCACGCTGTCTCCTGATACTGAGGCTGCCACTCAGAGGACCCAGAGTGCAGTTTGTCTCACAAACGAGCTTCAGCAGCATGAAGAGCCTTCCTCTTGTGTAGGAGGGAGGCACTGGGACCAATGCTGTCCTCTCTTCTGAGTCATAGCACCCAGCACCACCAGCATTAGTGCTAATGAGGCTTTGCGTAAAGTGCAAGTGCCCTTCACAGTTTGGCTGAGATGCTGGCTGGTGGTCAGCTGCTCCCTCCACCTTACCTCAGCACAGGGGTGCAGGGAGCCAGCTCCATGTCAGCTAGTGGTCTGCTGTAAAGGTGTGAAAGGGCAGGCAAGGCTGCCTCATTTGGTCTCCTGCTCTGAGGAATAGGCGACAGTTTGCTCTCAGGTTCTGCCCCAAGTCTTAGCCTGAAGGAGGCAAGCTGAATCCTTTCCATTGTCCATGCTGAGGACAGTGAAGATTTAGGGTTTGGGAAGAAAGCTGAATCACTTCAGATTATCCAAGTACTGTAACTCAGGGATCTCTGGGCCTTGGGCAGGGTGAGGGGGTGCAAGCAGCCTCAGGCCTCTGTGGGTGCCCGTGAGGAGTGAATCCTAGCATCTTGTCACACAGGTCAGCATTAAGTACCCAGAGAAACACCAAACAGGGAAACGGGCCCCTGGTGTGGGCAGAAGACCCTACTTCAGATCTCATCCGTAGACCACTCTTTAATAAAAGAGAGAAGCAGCTGTCACCAATTTATAGATATATTGATAATATCATTAGTCATGATACTAACAACATCTTCCATTTTTGAGGACTCAACTTGTGTAGGGCTCTGTACTAAGTGTGTTACATGAATCATTTAGTTTAATCTCCAGGACAGTTCTGCCAGGCAGGCACCCTCACCAACCCATTTTACAAGGCTCACATTGGTTGTGGCAGTTGCCAAGGACAAACAACTCAGAGCTAGTAGCTGAATATACCTTTGCTGAATGGATAGTTACCCAAGGTCATGGTCAAAGGCATTGAGGACACTCAGGCCAGACCATCTAGCACTAAGCTTGGGACTGCACCACGTGCTCCTGAACACTTCACCATGCCTAAGAGCTCTAAATGCCATATTCCTCAAAAGTCAGCTTCTCCTCAGCCTCAGGTGCTCCCAGGCTGGATGGGGACCTGAGGCTGAATGTAGTTGCCCCATTTCCCAGATGGTTAGAAACACAATACAAGCAATCTCTATGCTATGGGACTGAGCATCATTGGGGCAGGCAGCTCTGGATTGGAGACGTAATTCAAATCCAGGGAGTCACTGAGGCCTGGAGAGAAGTAGTCTCAATATGTGCCATTTAGGTTTCATTTACATATTTTATCTTGGAAAATGGTTTCACACCGGTGGTGGTCCTCAAACTTCAGTGCCTGAAGGAAACATGTATCCCTGGGTCCATGCTCAGCAATTCTGATGGTAGGAACTTAGGCTAGTGAGCAGCCTCCAAGTTTTCTTTGTCCAGTGGGGACAACACTTGCAAAATGTTTCCCAGAGGGTCACATAAATTGTAGTCAGGCCCTGAGGCATAAAACCAAGGTCTCTATTTCCTGCATTCTTTGAAGAACTTTCCAGCTGGGTCTCATTAGAACTGGCCAGAAGCTTCCTAATAACAATGATCAGTGTCAGAATTAAACATATATCATGCTCTGCCTGCCCAAGGCTCTTTTCAACCCATTCTCTCTTTCTTTTGGATCCTAGTGTCAAAATACTGGCTTGCCAACATATTTTGTTTGGCTCAAACAGGGTTAGACTTCAAAGACTTTTCAATGTGAATTGCTGCCAACATTTTTAAATTGTGAGAGTTTATGTTAAAATCTGGCTTTCTGACTTTCCTTGACTTATCAACAAGCTACTAAAGATCTTCTGGATGGTCCATATCCATGGTTCTGATGGAGTGGTGACTGCCGGTCTGGATGCAGCTGGCTCTATCCTTTTCACAACACCACTACTTCCTGACAATCCTGTCCTGCACAAGGCAGAGCCAGTCCACACTTTTCAGCTCCTCACTGCCTGGCTTGCTTCACTTGCTGATATTACCTGCATAAACCCTGTAGGCAATTCAGCCCATGACTTCTGTCCAGAATCCAAATACAGAGCCCATTAGCCCTTTGGCTTGTGTCACTCATTGGTTTCCTTTAGATAGTTATGTACAAATACTTCTTTAATAATGTCCTTTGAAAGTGATATTGCTTCTAATCCATTTAAGTGATAAAGGTATGAAGGCCCAGAGAGGGTAAACAACTTGTCTATGATTCTACAGCCAGTAGAAGCAGAACCCTGCTCCAACATTGTATCTAGGCATGTGGCATGCATGCACCAAGTGGCTGTCCAGCCCCCTTCTACACTTCTCACACTGAACATGCCTTGCAGGATTGTGCAGTGCACAAACAGAAGTCCCAAGATCTATCCATAGGCTGATCCTAAAGCCAGCATTTATCTTTACTCCATCCCAAGCCCTCATTTTTGGGCCTTAAAAACAAAGATTTCCAAATGCATGAGTGCTCTTGCTTCTCCCCCACAGTGCTCCTACATCCCAGTCAGCCTGGAAAATTACCAGATGGCCCGGGCTGATGTGGAGAAGGTCAGAGCCAATTTCCTCCAGCAAAAGGTTTTCTACTGCTTCTCCACGACTCGGGAAAATGAGACGAGCGTTCTGTACCGGCGCCTCTATGGGCCCCAAGCCCTCCTTTTCTCCCTCTTCTGGCCCACCTTCCTGCTAACCGGAGGCCTCCTCATTATTGCCATGGTAAAGCTCAACCGTTCTCTCTCCATCCTGGCGGCCCAGAGGTAGACTGATCTGTATCATGCCCTGTGAGCGTGGGTCACAGAGGACTGGGTGAGTCCCGGGGGCTGTTCCCAACTTGAACACCCATCCCTCCTTCTCTGTCCTCCCATTCACCCCTCCAAACCATCCTGTCCTCTGTTGCATGGTTGACATTTGGGAAATCTATTAAGTAATTTCCTGCTCGAGAATGTGCAGTGGCACCCTAGTGCCTCAGAGGGGAAGCCAGCCAGTTACACCTCTCCATTATCTGCCCTCACTCACTCAGCTTGTCCCTGTTTCCTACTGTGTCACCAAGGCTGCCTAACCTATCCAGGAAACTCTCCTTAGCAAACTATAGTTCCTTCTTTTAATTCCACAATAAACACAGTATCAGCTCCCATTTACAGGGCACACTTAGTATACTGCTTTTCTTTTTAGGATGCTAAGTCTTATATATATTTTTATTCCAATATTTTAAAATACTGTTGTTCCTCATTATTCACAGGGAACGAGTTTCAAGACCCCCCTCTGATGCCAAACTCTGCAAATGCTCAAGTCCCTGATAGAAAATAGCATCATATTTATATATAACCTTTGCACATTCTCACATATGCTTTAAATCATCTCTAGATGATGTATAATACCCAGTACAATTTAAATGCTATATAAATAGTTGCAATACTATATTATTTAGGGACTAATAAGAAGAAAAATGTCTGTCTATGTTCAGCACAGATGCAATTTTTTCCCCAAATATTTTCAATCTGCTGTTGATTGTATCCACTGTTGTGGAACCTACTGACTACATACACAGAGTAATAAAATAAGCAAATAAACCAGCGCGTAACAATGTTAACAGTAGCATGGTGGTTAGTTTTAATTTTCTTCCTTATCTCTCCCTTTTTGGGGTACATTTTCAATTTTCAACAATAGGAAGACTTTATGTTGTTTTGTTTGTTTTCAATCAGAAAAGCAAAAGGAAGTATTCTCTGGGAAAAGTTAAAAGGGGGACTTGTTCTCCCAAAGGAAATGGGAATGTGGTGGGAAAAGGATTTTTTTTCCCGAGCCAGGCTGTTGAGGACACAATTTTAAGAACACTGGATGGAGGGGAACCCAGACACAGAAGGACTTACATCTGGTACTAAGGCTGCTAGAGAAACTGTCAGACCTGAAAGGGCACAACTGGAGGAAGTATGGCCACTATCATGGCCACTGCTGTGATTTGAATGTGTCCTCCAAAAGTTCTTGTCTTAGAAACTTAATTTCCAAATGAATATGTTCATGATATTGAAGGTGAGACCTTTGGGAAATAATTAGAATTAGATGAGGTCATGAAGGTGGGGCCCTCTTGAGGGCATTAGTGGCTTTAAAGAAGAGGAAGAGGAACCTGAGCTAGCAAGCTTTTTCTGTCTCACCATGTGATGCCCTCAGCCATGTTATGATACAATAAGAAGGCCCCATCAGATGCTGAGCAGATGCCAGTGCCATGCTCTTGGACTTCCCAGCTTCCTGAACAGCAAGAAATAAAATTTTTTTCTTTATAAATTTATCAATCTCAGGTATTCAGTTATAGCAACAGAAAATGAACTAAGACACATTCTAACAAGTTGTCTTAAGAACAGTTACCCTTAAACTATGGCCCTGGAGCAGCAGCATCAAGATCTCATGGAGATCTGTGAGGCATGTGTGGCCTTGGGACCTTGTGCAGGTCCTTCAAAGCTAGTGACCTCATGGGGCAAGGGGATAATGCTCTATGTTTTAACAATGGCTGCAGGGGATTGGCACACATTAAGCATGAAAACTACTGGTTTAAGAAATAAGTTCTCTGTGACCAGGCTTTTCAAAGTAAGTAACTATTTCCAAGGACAGGTTCTGGGCTGGGTATGAAATTAGACTGGTATCTCTGAAGTTCTCTCCACTGCTGTAACTCTAAGATGCAGCACTTAGGTTTGAGTCCTGTCTCTATTACTGCTAGATTTCAACTTCCTGATTCTTATTTCTCTCATCTACAAAAGTATTCCTTCTATTGGGAAGTTGGGAGGACTGAATGAAAGTTTGGCACATAGCAGGTAATCACACTGAAAGTTACAATTTAGTAACAGAAAGTCATGAATACCCTAAAACCTCTGGGAGAAGGTTCTAAGTATAATGTTAATTAGCATTTATTGGTGCTTACTACATTTATTGGGCACTGTTCTAAGCACAGTAGTTTGTCTTGTAAAAATTCAATGAGGTATTATTGAACCCAGCTCATATTTGAAGAGAAGCAATACAGAACAGTGGTTAAGTATGTGGACTTGGTAGCACTCATCTTGGTTCAAGTATACAACCTTGCCATCAATAACCAGTGATTTTGGGCAAATAACCTTTCTATGCCTTAATCTCTTCATTAGCAAAACAATAAAAAGAGTTACTGATGTTAAATAAGTTACTACATAAAATTCCTAGAATAGTGGATGATACATGGTGTTTGCTATAGTTTGGATCTGGAGCATGCCTCAAAGGCCAGTGGGTTAAATGCTTGGTCCACAATATGGCATTCTTGAATGGTGATGGGACCTTTGAGAAGGGGAGCCTAGTGGGAAGTTTTGAGATCACTGGGGGCATACATTTGAAGGGATCTGGGGTGGGGGGATGTCCTTTCCTCTCTTTTTCTCTTTCGCTCCTTGGTCATGAGGTGAGAAGTTTTTCCCTGCCATGTGCTCACCCCATGATGTGTTGTCTCACCACAGGCCCAAAACAGTGGAGTCAACTGATCATGGACTGAAAACTGCAAGCCAAAGTAAAGCTTTTCTCCAAATAAGTTAGTTATCTCGATCTTTGTAATAGTAATAGAAAGCTGACTAGCATAATGCTATATAAGATACTATAAAGAGTTGCATCTATAAGAGGAGATGGCTAAGGCCATCCACCTAGAAAAGAAGGAGCTAGGAATCAGGGCTGTGTGATTCCAGGGCCTGGCATCTCAACCACAATACTCACACAGACCCAGCTGAAAGGCCAAGGGATACAGCTACTCAAAGCTACAGGACCAGGTAAGGATGGCACTACATCACTGCAACACAAAGGTGTCCTCATGCAGGGCATCAACACTTGCCACTTCCAACCAGAGGGCCCAGATGCCTCCCTGCACCCTCCAGTTTCTTACCTGTGGATCTTCCTTCCAAAACCAAGCAGCTCACCATTCCCAGAGTTGCTCCTTTCTGAATTCAGGGAGGTCTCGAAAGCCTTCTGAGTCTTCTGAGAAAGTTCCAATTGTGATATTGTACTACAGTTTTTCAAGCTATTACCATTGGAGGAAATTCAGTAAAGGGTAGTGAAGGGTCTCTCTAGCTAATTTTTTTACAAGTACATGTGAATATACAAATCCTCCACATTTAATTTAAAAAGAGGAAGAAAAAGAAAAAAGTCTGAACTAGGAGTCTGACTTCAAGGGACTACTTTACACATGGTTTCCACCTAACTGCATTTGAGACTAAAATGCACAGAAACTCAGATTATCCAAACAGCCTCTGCAGGGAGAGAGGCCATGTCTTTCTAGAAAATTTAGCACCATGTAGGGATGCCTAGCCTCCCTTGCCACATGCATTATTGATGCTGACCTTCATTTACTTGGGAAGAATATCCTCGCCCTGTCAACAGACTCTGGCCTACTTGTATCAGATGCTACACCTGTCGGTGCTTATAGAACTTCACACGTGGGATGAGTATGAAATAATGGTCAGTTAAGCATGATGGATTTAGACACTGAGGAAAAATGTGTTTTGCAATAATGGCTGCATAGGAGCAGAGAGTCCTCATCAGTTCTTAATAAGTCACTGCTAATGAACATCTAGTGCTTTCACCATTTTTCCACTTGCTCACACATGCCAGGGACCCACACCTGGCCCACTGCCCTGTGTGCCCTCCCCCAGAACTCAAACCACTTTTGGAGACCAGAGGCAATGGGACCCCTAAGCTCCTCACAGACTTGGAGAAGACATTTGTGTGACATCTTAATAGTGCCAAGCTTCAGAAAGAGCCTCAGCTCACCAGCCTAAGCTTCAACTTGAGGGATAAAGACAGGTGGTACTCCTACTTTTGAAGATTCCGTAAGGCAAAGATTCTACATTGCCCTACATAGTATATCTACTTTCCATAAAGCTAAAAGGTTGGACAGGGACAGAGAAATGAATCAGATACAATCCCTGCCTTCAAAGCCCTTCTTGTCACCCCTCCACCCAGCCTGCTCACTAACAGTCATTAAGGGCTTCCTGCTTGGCAGTGAAGAACCTGAATTATGCAAATTTAAAATCATGCAATGTAAAAATCTTAATTTCAGTGACAATGAAATGATGCCAGGTCCCCCTATAAATCAACAACTCATCTCAGATTTCTCCTAGTGTCAAAACTTCTTGGGTGATTGGATCGCAAACTGTATTTATACTACTGCTGATTGTAAAGGAAGGCTGGTCCAGAAGACTATCCAATGTTCTTGAATTAGCCTTGGTTTGGAAGAGTTTTAATTCTGTGGAATATGTGGGAAGATCCTGTTTGAACAAAATCCAGCTGTTCTGTACTTCACCAGCCTTTTCACATGTAAAGGAAAGCAAAAGAGCAAACAAAGATCAGAGAGACATGAAAATATTCTCCAGAGTTTAGAGTAGCAGTTCTCAAAGTGGAGCCTTACAAGGTCAGAACTTTCTTCGTAAGAATTCTAAGATGTTATTTGCCCTTTTTTTTCACATCATACCTTTTTTTACTCTCATTCTCTTATGAGTGAGTGTACAGTAGAACTTTCCAGCGGTTATATGACATGTGGTATCACAACAGTCTGAATGCAGAAACAGATATGGGATTTCAGCTGCCTTAAGTTAGACACTAAAAAGATTTTCAAAAATGTAACAAACAGTGCCATTTTTCTTAATAAGAACATTTTTTGGAAAATATAATTGTTTTTCATAAAAATGTAGTCTTTTGCAAACTGCAGTAGGTTTATCATTAGTTTAAAATAGAAAATTCAAATTAAATACTTTTAAAGATCTTGGTTTAAATTTCTAAAATGTTAACTATTAATAGATATAACACATATACACCAAAGCTCATTGAAGCTTCGATACTTTTTAAGAGTGTTAAAAGTCCTGATACCAGAGAGCTTCATAACTGCTAGTCTAGTGAATCCAGAGTCAAGGCCCTACATCCCTTCCACACCACGTCCCATGAAAATCTGAAGCCCTCCCTTGGTTTCCATCAGATTCCCACTAAGACAGGAAAAAGGCTTTAGTTTTCTAGTTTGTCCCTGGCACAGTTTCTGCTGTGGATTAGTTGATGAATTATCTTCCTATTCACAGGCACTTTCCTGATATTTGTCACATTGACTCAAAGGTAGAATTCAGATTCTTCCTAAATGGTCCAACTCTTCCTCTCTATTCATATAAAGTATGTGTTTGTCAGCCATCATCCTTTTTAAAGGCTTTGGGAGATGGGGAAGGGAAATATATAGATGCCAAGCAAACTATAAACTGAATGTTAGATCAAGTTTGCAATTCATCCCAAAGCATGCTCCGTTCCCAGCTTAAAAGTAGAAGGAAATTTACAGGCAGTTTGATCTTCCATGATCTCTGTCATCCCACACCAACTTCCCCCACTCCCTGTACAAATGAAGTAAAAGTAGAGGCTTGCTAAGCATAAGCAACTTCAAGAGATGTCTTCTAGCCCCATGTCCTATGTCAATTCTGGAGTCCCTGTAACTTGATTTCTTGTCCATTTTGGATACTCCAATACAAATTACTGTTCTCCAAGGCTCATTAGAACTTTAAAGATCATCATCTAGTGCTCTCCCACTGTCTAACTTTAACGCTCTATGGTATCATAAAA